TTAAATCCGTAAAAACTGAGCTATTCCACTAAGGCAATTGGTTATAGAGGAAACTCGAAAGCCCTGGCTTTATGAATAGATTGCGTTTAAACCATGACATTGCTCGGACACTTGGCAACTCAGTGTTTGCTCCACTGCTATTGTCAGGCTGAAGACTTTGTGATGAGATGAACCCATCAGTTAACCTGATAACAGTGATTATAATATTAAGCTTTCCCTCTAAAACAATTGGTTAAACGCCCCGACTTTATGGATTTGGCTAGCCAGATAATGGCAAATTAAATCAAATTTATCTAAACAAGAAATTTTCGGTAATGATGAACTAAGGGAGTTAATGAACACCTGTTATAGTCAAATTCACACGAGCACTCAAGAATTTCATTTTTAGACTGATATTTCTGCACTACATTTGTTAGAGGAGCCTACAAAGCTTGAACAAATGGAAGATTTCAGATGATCGAAATAAAAGGTCTAGTAATTGATCATGCTAGTTGCGTCATTTTGTCCGTATCCAATTGAAATGCTAAAGCATGTTGCGATATTTCAGAAAAAATGACACTTTGGGTTACCAAAACCTTAGAAAGGAGGCCAACCTAAAGCCAACTCATCCATTTGAACATTTGTCAAAGAGCTGTAACTCTTAAAGCATTAAAAGAGCTCTTGATTCATTTGATATTCTTTGAACTCACGTTTACAATTTGATTCAATTGCGAACAATATTTTACATAATTTTTTTCCTTTTCCCTCCTAAAACAAGAAAAATAAGAAAAACATTTTCAAACAGAACAGTCTCAGATTTGAAAGGTTTGTAAAGCCAAAGCTTGAAAAGATAATGGGGCACGATCGACTCCAAGGACCAGATTGATAGACAAAGCACGAGACTCCATCCAGGAGATAACACATAATTCATTCATGTTGCATGCATCTTAGACATACTTAGGTACATCACACTCATCATTTTAGCATACATGACTTTTTGCAGCTTTTAGTGTCAAGTTTCGACTTCAGGATGAAGGATACTCGATTCGTAAGCGCCTGTAAAGAATGATGGTGGTTGCTTAACTCAGCAGTGTGAAGCTACACCTCAATCGACTTGACATTCTATAGAACTAAGAATCAATTTTAGATAGGTTCAAGAAACAATTCAGAACAAATCCAGTTCAGCTCAACTCAACAATGAGCAACATGTTTCCAGTTAACGTCTTCAAGCCAAATTTTAATTCCACAACGGAAGATATTTGGCTATCAGAATTCATTAGTGGGCTTTCTCGTAAAAGGGAAGTCATTCAAAGATCATCTCATTTGGTTCAAACTCGCTCAAAGGAACCACCTGAAGAATCATGATCGGCTTCGACCCGTGAAGGGAAGCCATTTTTAAACAAACTATTTACAGCTTAGCTCAAGGCCAGAAGGGTTATCTGCTACCAAGACCTTCGAGTTCGATTACGCTCCGCTCCAAGGCATATCATTTGCAGCATAACTTAAGTTCGAGAAGGGTTATCTGCCAACCAAAGACCTTCGAGTTTGACTACACTCAGCTCCAAGGCACATCATTTGCAGCATAGCTTAAGTCGAGAAGGGTTATCTGCTAAAGACCCTCGAGTTGGATTGCACTCAGCTTCGAGGGTACATCATTTACAGCATAACTCAAGGCTAGAAGGGTTATCTGTAACCAAAAGACCTTTGAGTTTGATTACGCTCAGCTCCAAGGCATATCATTTGCAGCATAACTTAAGTCGAGAAGGGTTATCTGCCAACCAAAGACATTCGAGTTTAACTACGCTCAGCTCTAAGGCACATCATTTGCAGTATAGCTTAAGTCGAGAAGGGCTATCTGCCAAAGACTCTCGAGTTCGATTACACTCAGCTTCGAGGGCACATCATTTGCAGCATAACTTAAGCCGAGAAGGGTTATCTGCCAACCAAAGACCTTTGGGTTTGACTACGCTTAGCTCCAAGGCACATCATTTGCAGTATAACTTAAGTCGAGAAGGGTTATCTGCCAAAAACTCTCGAGTTCGATTACACTAAGCTTCGAGGGCACATCATTTACAGTATAACTTAAGTCGAGAAGGGTTATCTACCAACCAAAAACCTTTGAGTTCGACTACGCTCAGCTCCAAGGCACATCATTTGCAGTATAACTTAAGTCGAGAAGGGCTATCTGCCAAAGACTCTCGAGTTCGATTACACTCAGCTTCGAGGGCACATCATTTGCAGCATAACTTAAGCTGAAAAGGGTTAGCTGCCAACCAAAGACCTTTGAGTTCAACTACGCTCAGCTCCAAGGCACATCATTTACGATATAGCTCAAGGCTAGAACGGCTATCTGCCAAAGACATTCGAGTTCGACTACGCTAAGCTCCAAGGCGCATCATTTATAGCATAGCCCTAGGCAAGAAGGGTTATATGTCAATAAAATATTCGAGTTCGATTTCATTCAGCTCGAGGACCTGTCAACTACATGGTGGAGTGAAAGAATTACTTTCCAGTTGATTTTTTAAACAAAGGTCTTTAAACCGAGAAGAAGACTGATGCAGACTACAAACGAGAAGCTACATTCCAATTCAAATCCCGAACTACGGCTTCAACTCTATATTATTTCGAGATGGATTCGACTTCGCGACGGAGGGGCCATCCACAACTCAATTCGACAGGGAGTTATTCCTTCAGAGTCAATTTTTCATTTCCACCGAACGAAAATTTGTGTCTTTTTATCTTTGTCCTATTTTTTGTTCCACGAAAAAGGACAAAGAGGGCAGCTGTAGACACTCATTTTCGTCCATATTTATTTTATTTTGTTTTCTTTTATACATATATATATCTATACATATATATTATATAGTTCGCAAAATGGTTTTTGAAAAATACATATATAATATATGATTTTTAAAAATATATTTTGAAAATATATATAATATAGTTTTTAAAAATACCTTTGAAAACTATATAATATATAGTTTTTAAAACATTTTAGAAAACATATATAATATATAGTTTTAAAATCATTTTGAAAACTTATATAATATATAATTTTAAAACCATTTTGAAATCTATATAATATATAGTTTTTAAAAAAACCATTTTTGAAAACATATAATATAATTTTAAAATGTTTTTGAAAACTTCAATATATAGTTTGAAAACATTTTGAAAATTATATAATATATGGTTTTGAAAATATCTTTAAAACAATTTCGAGTCTAGTGGGTCCAACATGTAACCAATCAGGTATGGGCCTGAACCAGCCCAAGACCCTTAGGGTTTAGGAAACCCTAACATGTCATCAGCACCGCAAAGGAGCCACGTAGTCAACACCCAGCGCACTTTCCGGCCACGCCAACGGGAGTGAACCATCCCGAGGTGGCCGGCGTGAAACGAGGAATCACAACAGCCCGTAACAGAGCTACCCGAGATATCTGGGATCGACCTCAAACAAGCTCGAAAGTGGCCCCGACGGGAGCCTATAAATACAATCGAGGAACCATCACAGAGGGGGGAGATCATCGAGAGAATCTACGATCAAAATAGAAAACCCATAGACACAATGATACCAATTGGGTACAAACACAGACAACATCAATGATAAAAAAACCGAGAACCCACAAAGGGTTCGTACAATCAGACTATCAACACGAAGCAATGAAACCAAGTGAACATCACAATACCAAACCACGATAGTACAGATCGAAATCAAACACACAACGGAGAACCCAAAATACCACATACAAATACCAAAAAATCAGCCGTACGAAACACCAAAGGAAGCCCCGATCAGAGCATTGGAATGAGAAGGGTCATCGGAAGCCGAGGGGACTTCAGAAAAGGGTAAAAATTGGAACTTTAAACCTATATCTATGTCGATTGGTGGGGTTTTTGGGGGTTTAGGCCTCGGGTTGGCATTTAGGGTGAAAAGGATGTTGTTTCGGTGAAATAAAATATTTTTCGGCCACCGGCGGTAGCCGGCTTCTCGCCTGGGAAGGGGAGTTTTAGAGCATTGAGAGAAGATGGAGTTGTCTGTTTTTTAGAAAATGGGGAAAATGAGGCGTGTTGGGCCATTTTGCTCTTTAAAACATATATATATATATATATATATATATATATATATATATATATATATATATATATATATATATATATATATATATATATGTAAAACGAAACTAAGTCGTTTTAGTTATACCCTTGTTTTTCAGAAATATTTGGGTAAATCTCAGATTTTGTCTTTCCCACTCTGTAAAGTCTTCATTTAGTCACCGAATGAAGTTTTTTTAGGCCTGTATCTTTCGAAAGTTATGTTTCAATCACCTAATGGACTTTCACCTTATTTCATTTCGAGCCTTAATATTTCAGAATTTACATTTTAGTTCTGCTTGTTATTTTATGTTCTTTTTATTTTTAGTATCTATTGATTTATTTATTTATTACTATTTAATATTCCACTTTATTGCATACATATATTTTTTTTACTATTTATTTCTATATTTTTCCTTCATATATATATTTTTTAAACTTTAGTTTTTTATTTTTGATTTCTTTAATTGTTTTTTTTATTTTATCTCATTTGTTTCTTTTGACTTATTCTTTTTTTATTGTATTATTTTACAATATATTTATTTATTTTTTCCTGATTTATTTTTTTATTTATTTTTTATTTTTTATTTTTTCTGTCTAACATTTTCGATCACTTTTTTAGAATATTTTAAACCGATCAGGGATAAGTAATTCGAGTCGAACATTTTAAATTTAAATTTAAAAAGACAGCTAGTAAATTAATTGGTACCGAAAGGGCGGTTCAATGGTGCAAATCCTTCCTTGATTGTAACCGACTCCCGAACCCGACACGTTTCTGGTACAACATAGATCAGGTAAGATGGTGTCCGACCCACCTAAGTTTGTTTTAAAGTGGTCGGTGGTAACTCTAACCCAATTTTCCTAAGTCGAAGCCTAATTTCGGGCTCACCCGAAAGAGGGTTCTAACAAGATACAAACTTCTTTGGGTTGTTTCCTCTAACAAAATAATACGACACTTTAGCCTTGTTCTGCAAAAAGAGAAAAATCATATAATTGTAGGCATCCACAACACACATGTGTCGTGGTCGTCTTTCGGTTGGACCCATAATTGGGCTTCGACTTGAATAGATTGGGTTAGAGTCGCCACAGATCACTTTAAAGAATATTTGGGCTGATCGAACACCGTCTTACCTGATATGCATTTTACCAGAATTGTGTCGGGTTCGGGAGTCTGTTACGGTTAAGGAAGGATTAGCACCTTTTAACCACCCTTTCGGTATCAATTAATTTATCGATTGTCTTTAATTGTGAAAAATTAAAATTTAAAATATTCGATTCTAATTACTTACCTTTGATTGGTTAAAATTGACCCTAAAAAGTAAAAAATATTAGATTAAAAAATAAATATTAAATAAATCAAAGAAAGAGAAAATAAATAAATAAATAAATTGAGAAAATAACAACAAAAAATGTTAAGAAAAATAAGAAAATAAAAATGTAGAAAATGTTCAGTCTTGAAAATAATAAAATAAAAGAGTGTAATATATATATATATATATATATATATATATGAAACAATGTTTTTAAAAGAAAAGTATAAAAAACCAAAAAAACATATTAAAATTAAAAGCAATAAAAAAAATAAAAAAGACCAAAATGAATGATATTCAAAGATTGAATGATTACACCAAGGATTAGCAATTTATAACCTCATACCCACGCGAGTTACATGAATCAAATGAATGTTTTTTTCTAAACACATAGATCCTATACATATATATAATATTTTATTCTAACCCCATGGATCCTATCCATATATATATATATAATATTTTAAAGGGGTTTTTTTTGAAAAGATAACCAGAACAACCTTTAATCAGATTAGCATAAAATATAAAAATAGAAATTTAGGGTTCTTACATATCATAAATTAGTATAAAAAACAAAATATGGTTTCCGTATATAGATCCGACAACACTAATATTACGATATGACCACTAATACTCAAAGCCAAAGAACAGTAAAGTAAAACAACTAAGCTAAATGCAAGTTACTTCTAGAAGGCAAGTTCACGAGGCTTCATGCAAGACTTCAAGGAAAATCTTGTCCCAAGGTAGGCTTTCAAATCCGAGACTCCCTCGATGGACTTTATTAAAGAGGCGTCGACAACTTTCTAGTTTTCTTTCTTGTCTTCTGGCAACTTCTTCTTATCTTCCTTTTCAGCTTCGAAGAACTCTCTCCCCCCCTTGTATTTCCTCTCTTTTTCGTATGATATCTCTCTAAGTCCCTCTCTTGTGTTTTACATAAATATTTATAGCCTAAAAAAAAATATTTTTAGCTCAAATTTAGAGTCCCACTTGGACACAAATCCTTCAGTTTGAGAGTTTAATTTAGACTAAAAATGCTTGTTGTTTGTTTTGCTTTCCTTGCGCCGGAAGACTCGGAGGTGTGGCCAGAGTGAGACTTTTCCTTGCGTGTGTGGCTGCTGCGGCGTTGTGGAGAGAAGAGGTTAGGGTTAGAAACCCTAATCTACCAGTTTGGGTCGGGCTTAACCGAATCTGGTTCGGGTCAAGCAAAAGTGGTCTTCTAATCTGGGCTCCTGGGTTTGTAACCATTAGGTTGTTGGATCTATAAATAAAACAAAAAGAAGGGAAATATGTAATTATAATATAAGTATATTATAGTATATAGTATAATATATATGACGTAAACAATACAACTAAATATAATAAATTGATATATTTAAATAAAAGCCCAAGTCGGACGAAAATGAGTGTCTACAGCTGCCCTTCTTTGTCCTATTTTCGTTGTCCTTTTTCGTAGAACGAAAAAATAGGACAAAGATAAAAGAACACAAATTTTCGTTCGGTGGAGTTGAATATTGACTATGATATTTCAATTAAGAATAACTCCCTGTCGAATTGAGTTGCGAATGGCTCCTCTGCCGCGAAGTTGAATCCATCTTGAAATGATCTGGAATTGAAGCCGTAGTTTGGAATTTAGACCGGAATGTGGCTTCTAGTTGCCAAATTGTAGTCAACTTCAGTCTTCTTCTCGGTTTAAAGGCCTCGGTTTAAAAATTCGACTGGAAAGTAGTTCCTTGACTCCACCATGTGGTTGATAGGCCATCGAGTTGAATGAAATCGAACTCGAAAGGTCTTTGTTGACAGATAGCTTTTCTCGACTTAAGTTATGCTGCCGGAAAATAGTTTCTTGTCACTAAGGCACGGCTAACCCAGGTCTTCTTCTCGACTTGAAAACCTCGATTGTAACCGGATAGTAGTGTGATTGATGTGTTATGGAATCAAACTCGACAATCTTGTTGACATATAGCCCTTCTTGCCTTGAGCTATGCTGCAAATGATGTACCTTCGGGCTGAGTGTAATCAAAATCGAAGGTCTTTGGCAGATAATCCTTCTTGCCTTGAGCTATGCTGCAAATTATGGTGCCTTTGAGCTGAGTGGAATCGAACTCGAAGGTCTTTTGTTAGCAGATAGCCCTTCTCGCCTTAAGCTATGATGCAAATGATATGTTTTTGAGCTAAGTGTAATCAAACTCGAAGGTCTTTTGTTGGAAGATAACCCTTTTAGCCTTGAGTTATGCTGTAAATGATGTACCTTGGAGCTGAGCGTAGTCGAACTCGAAGGTCTTTTGTTGGCAAATAACCCTTCTTGCCTTGAGCTATGTTACAAATGATATGCCTTGGAGCTGAGCGTAGTCGAACTCGAAGGTCTTTAGGTGGCAGATAACCCTTCTAGCCTTGAGTTATGCTGAAAATAATATGCCTTTGAGTTGAGCATAGTCGAACTCGAAGGTCTTTTGTTGGCAAATAACCCTTATTTCCTTGAGTTATGTTGCAAATGATGTACCTTAGAGTTGAGCGTAGTCGAACTCGAAGGTCTTTTGTTGGCAAATAGCCCTTCTTGCCTTGAGCTATGTTGCAAATGATGTGCCTTGGAGCTGAGCGTAGTCGAACTCGAAGGTATTTTTTTGGCAAATAATCCTTCTTGCCTTGAGCTATGTTGCAAATGATGTGCCTTGAAGCTGAGCGTAGTCAAACTCGAAGGTGTTTTGTTGGCAGATAATCCTTCTAGCCTTGAGTTATGCTGAAAATGATGTGCCTTGGAGCTGAGCGTTGTCGAACTCGAAGGTCTTTTGTTGGCAGATAACCCTTCTAGCCTTGAGTTATGCTGCAAATGATGTGCCTTGGAGCTGAGCGTAGTCGAACTCGAAGGTATTTTGTTGGTAAATAACCCTTCTTGCCTTGAGCTATGTTACAAATGAACACGATATCCTTTGTCGTGAAGTTAAAATCGTGGATGACATTACTGCTTGTGGGCACGATATCCTTTGAAATCGTGGAGGGCCCCTTCGTTGTGAAGTTGAGCCTTGAATTGGATATCCTTTGTCGTAAAATTGAAATCCAATCTGAAGATGAATGTTGCTGGTGGGCATGATTCCCTTCTTCGTGAAGTTAAAACCGTTGATGGCCCATTCGTTGTGAAATTGAGCCTTGAATTGGATATCCTTCGTCGTGAAGTTGAAATCCAATCTAAAGATGAATGTTACTGGTGAGCACGATTCTCTTCTTCGTGAAGTTGAAACTGTGGATGACCCCTTCGTTGTGAAGTTGAGCCTTGAATTTGATATCCTTCGTCGTGAAGTTTAAATCCAATCTAAAGATGATTATTACTGGTGAGCACGATTCCCTTCGTCGTGAAGTTGAAACCGTGGATGACCCCTTCGTTGTGAAGTTGAGCCTTGAATTGGATATCATTCGTCATGAAGTTGAAATCCAATCTAAATATGAATGTTGTTGGTGAGCACGATCCCCTTTGTCGTGAAGTTAAAACCATGGATGACCCATTCGTTGTGAAGTTGAAATCCAAGCTAAAGATGAATGTTGCTTTGAGTTGGATATCCTTCATTGTGAAGTTGAAATCCAATCTTGAGTAAATTGTGTTGCTTCGAGTTCAATATTTTTCGCTGTGAAGTCGAGCAACCACCATCAACTGAATGTGCTTTTGAATCGAGTATCTTTCGTCTTAAAGTTGAAACTTTGACTCAAAAAACTGCAAAAAAATTATGTATGCTAAAAATGATAAATGTGATGCTCTTAAGCATGTCTATGATGCATGCAACATGAATTAATTTTGTTTTATCTCTTAGATGGAGTATCATTTTTGTCAGTTGGTCTTGTCCTTGGAATCGACCATGCCCCATTTTCTTCTCAGGTTATTGGTAATGTCACAAGTTCTATATGATCTCTTGGACTGATTGTCTTGTGAAATGCTCAAAATTTGGCATTGTTCGTTCTTTCATCAATATAGGCAAAATGAGCCTTAATACCTTCCAGGACCTTTCACATTTGAGATTATCATGTTTGAAATGTTTTTTCCTTTCTCTTATTTAGGAGGGAAGAAAAAAGATATAAAAATGCAAGAATTCTATAAAAAATAATTGCCTCTTAATTCAGGCTCGCAATCAAATCGAATCAAATTATAAACATGAGTTCAAAGAATATCAAATGAATCAATAGTTCTTTTAATGCTTTCAGAGTTATATCTCTTTGACAAATATTCAAGTGGATGAGTTGGCTTTAGGTTGACCTAAGGTTTCAGCCATAAAAAATGTCATTTTTCGGTCATTGCAACATGTTTTTTCTTTGGCTTGGCATTTTAATTGGATACAGACAAAATAATGCAACTAGTATTATCAATTACTAGACCCTCTATTTTGATTCTCTAAAATCTTCCATTTGTTCAAGTTTTGTAAGCTCCTCTAACAAAGGTAGTGCAGAAATATCGGTCTAAAAATGAAATTCCTGAGTGCTCGTGTGAAGTTGACTATAACAGGTGTTCCTTAACTCCCTTAGTCCATATTTACCGAAACTCCTTATTTAATTTTGTCATTGTATGGCTAGTTGGATCCATATAGCCGAGGCATTTAACCAATTGCTCTAGAGGGACAACTCAAGCATTATTATATATTATAATCGCCTTTATCAGGCTAGCTGAATCTTATCCATAAAGTCGGGGCGTTTAACCAATTGCTCTAGAGGGACAACTCAAGATTTATTGTATATATATATATATATAATTATAATTTAAGTATAAGGATTCAACTTCTTAAGTTTGTCAAGAAGAACCTGTTATAGTCTAGGTGTTTTTGAAAGTCAAAAATTTCATCTTTAGAGTTCAATTTCCAAGTAAATGACCTAAACTAGATTCACCTACTCGACTATTCCATATGTAAAGATCATTGAACGTCTTAAACAAAAAGTATAGTAATGACATATGAAAAAGATGCCCCATGTTGTCCGCACCTATGCATATCTAAATATCAAGCCTTATGAAGGGAGAATGCTATATTGGATATTTGTAAGAGAAGGGTACGGTGTTTGGCGTATCTTCTGGGTAAGGTCAAAGTCTTTTGTTTTATTAGATTTTAATGGTGTTACTTTGTCAAAGATCTGTAACTCCGATCATTTACAGAGTTTTTTAATTCATTTGATATTCAAAGAATTTCAAGTTGTAAAGTTGATTCAATGCTCCATATAAATTCATTGAAATATCCAAAGAAAGTTCAAAAACAAGTTCCAAATATGAGAAAGTTCAAAAAACAAATTCAAACAAGATGCCTGCAAAATTGAATAATGCCTCATTAGGATTGCCCAGAATGTCGAGGATTAGGGCCTTCATCTGCATTTACTCCTCATTTTTCAAATGTTTCACTTGTCGGGGCTCCTTTTGATGTACTCTCAGATGAACAAATTTCTGCTTCGGAAGTGTCATTGCTTTCATCATAGAATTCCCACTCTTTTCTATTTGAACGAGTGTTATGTGAATGAGGTGTGTCCAACTCTTGTTAGTTAATGTGAATGAAATAAAAAAATACGAAATATGCAAGAATGCATGATGCATGAAATGTTCGAGGTATTGATCTAAAAATGTGTTTGTTGTTATAAATAATCCTTATTGGGGACAAAAGTGTTACGTCTTAGGAGATAAAAAACATTTTAAAGGTATAGACCCCTAACAGCTTCTGACAGGTTGATTCATCTTCCGACTTTTTTCTATCACTGGTTGAATGCCTTGTTGAACCGTTTCGGCTTCTCTGGCTAAACTGTGCAAGTGACGAGCTGCTTGCTCCTAAAAGTCTCGAATGGCTGCATCTTCGGCTTCCACTCTCTGCTGAGCCTGTTCCTAACGACAGCACTATTAGAACCCTCCATCGATAAGAATTATTCGAAGTTTAGCTGCTTGTTTCTTGAATTTGTCAATAATTACCTCTAGCTCAGCTAGGGTTTCGTCATCTTGTTTTTGTTGTCTTTGAAAAGACTCTCCAGGTAACCTTTTTCTTGTCTTGCCCCTCCAACTTTTTCCATCTCGTTTTGGAAAGTTGACTTTTGACGTGCTTAGTGTAAACCCGGTCCATTCCGAGTCTTTTCTGACCATAATTGGACTTTTGAGCTTTTCATCTCTTATATTATAACCCCTTTATCCATTAATGCAGATTATTTACGTTTAACGAACACGTTTTTGGTGGATCAACACCTCTTTTGAATAATGCAAATGATGAAAATTAAAATGAAAGAAAACAAAAATGAAAAGAGTTAGTGAGGTAAATCAAAATAAAAATGAAAATAAAAAATCCTACCCCACATGCTTTAATTCCTACCCTAACATGATTTATATCCCACAAGTTGATTTTGAACAAGTCCTAACAGCATAAATTTCTAGTTCGCATGCTTTGAACAAAAAATAAGGCAGGAAATAACATCAAAGCAGCCTAGGGTTTGAAATGAGGTTTTGGCGTGGGCTCTAATTCTCTATAGTCTCCCGAATTAGGTTCTAAAAAGGTACCAAGTTCTCCTTGCTGGTGCCCCCTTGGACTTGTCAGACCCTTAGTCTTAAGTCTATTACAAGCTTGTGTGGACTAAGTTAAACTCGAGAGGATACATTCTCTTATGCCCATACGGAGAATAAATTCACACGAAAGCGTAAGGTATATGAATCTCGAAGGTTACTTGCTAGGCCCATACGGAGAATAAATTCTCACGAGAGCGTCGTTTTCACCCCCACTTAAAAAGGGTTCAGAGCTCGATTATAGAGCCAGAGATAGAAACTTTTCAAAAATATGAAATCATTGAAAAAAATGTCAGTACAACTATTTATTTGAAAAATAATCAAAGGTAAATAATTAGAATCGAATAAATAAATTTAAATTTAAATATACTATTTTCACATAAAAAGGTAACCGAAAATTAATTCTGGTCTGACTCACTTACCTGTCCCCAGCAGAGTTGCCAAGCTGTCGCGGTCGTCTTTCGGTTGGGCCCGGAATTGGGCTTCGACTTGAATAGATTGGGTTAGAGTCGCCACCGATCACTTTAAAGAATATTTGGGCTGATCGGACACCGTCTTATCTGATCTGCGTTTTACCATAAATGTGTCGGGTTTGGGAGTCGGTTACGGTCAAGGAAGGATTAACACCCTTGAACCGCCCTTTCGGTACCAATTAATTTGTCGATTGTATTTAATTGTGAAAATTAAAATTAAAATTTAAAATATTCGATTCTAATTACTTACATTTGATTGGTTAAAATTGACCCTTAAAAAGTCAAAAATATTAGATTAAAAGATAAATATTAAATAAATCAAATAAAGAGAAAATAAATAAATAAATTGAGAAAATAACAACAAAAAATATTAAGAAAAATAAGAAAATAAAAATATAGAAAATGTTCAGTCTTGAAAATAATAAAATAAAAGAGTGTAAAAAAATATATACATACATATATATATATATATATGAAACAATGTTTTTAAAAGAAAAGAATAAAATAAAGATAAAATAAAAAACAAAAAAAACATATTAAAATTAAAAGCAATAAAAAAAATAAAAATTAAAAGGATCAAAGTGAATGATATTCAAAGATTGAATGATTACACCAAGGATTAACAATTTATAACCTCATACTCACGCGAGTTACATGAATCAAATGAATGGTTTTTTCTAAACACATGGATCCTATGCATATATATAATATTTTATTCTAACCCCATGGATTCTATCAATATATATAATATTTTAAAGGTTTTTTTAAAAGATAACTAGAACAAGCTCTAATCAAATTAGCATAAAACATAAAAATGGAAATTTGGGGTTCTTACATATCATAAATTGGTATAAAAAATAAAACATGTTTTCCGTATATAGATCCGACAACACTGATATTATAATATGACCACTAATACTCAAAGCCAAAGAACATCAAAGTAAAACAGCTAAGCTAAATGCAAGTTACTTCTAGAAGGCAAGTTCATGAGGCTTCATGACAGACTTCAAGGAAAATCTTGTCCTAAGATAGGCTTTCAAATCTGAGACTCCCTCGATGGACTTTATTAAAGAGGCATCGACAGCTTTATGCTTTTCTTTCTTGTCTTCTGGCAGCTTCTTCTTATCCTTTTTTTCAGCTTCGAAGAACTCTCCCTCCCCCTTGTATTTCCTCTCTTTTTCGTATGATATCTCTCTGAGTCCCTCTCTTGTGTTTTGCATTAATATTTATAGCCTAGAAAAACTATTTTTAGTTCGGATTTAGAGTCCCACTTGGACACAAATGCTTCAGTTTGAGAGTTTGATTTAGGCTAAAAATGCTTGTTGTTTGTTTGCTTTGCTTTCCTTGCGTCGGAGGACAAGGAGGTGTGGCCGAGTGGGACTTTTCCTTGCACGTGTGGCTGCTGCGGCGCTGTGGAGAGAAGAGATTAGGGTTGGAATCCATAATATGCCGATTCGGGTCAGGCTCCACCGGATTCGATTCGGGTCAAGCACAAGTGGTCTTCTAATCTGGGCTTCTGGGTTTGTAACCAGTGGGCTGTTGGATCTGTAAATAAAACAAAAAGAAGGGAAATATGTAATTATAATTAAGTATATTATAGTATATAGTATAATATATATGACGTAAACAATACAACTAAATACAATAAATTGATATATTTAAATAAAAGCCCAAGTCGGACGAAAATGAGTGTCTACAACATGCATGTTAACTGATAAATGGACCTTTGAAGTGAAAAGTGATGAAAACCAATGTACAATAACTAGATACTTCTCAATGGCATGTATGGAGAAAAAATGGAAGCATCTAATTTGTTTGACTGAGCATTTTTTAACCAACCAACAAAAATCAGGATATCACTATCAAGTACATAATCAACTTATGTCCGAGAGGAACTTACCTTTTAATCAAAAGGAAATATGCCATGAATGTACTCAAGTTATAAAGGATTACATATTTTAATTATTAAAGTTTGAGCACAGCACACATTTAAACAAAACGAATTCCTAAAATAATGTTAGTGTGCTATCTGCAAAATATTAAATTGGTCATTAGCGTACAATGCATATATTGCACAAGCCATTAAGATCTTCAAAATTAGGACAAGGATAAACTTCATCTGATTTAAAGTAGGAGAGAAGGAGAAATATGCCATTGAAGCAAAAGAAATGTAAATTTCACTTCAAACCTACCAACTCAGTAGATTCGGAGTAGATGTATTCGGCCAGCATAACATGCAGTTGTGGATCACCTTTCCTGGAAGCACCAAACTCTGCGGACCACCTAAAACCCAAAATAATAAAATTCAAAGAAAAAAAGAAGTAACATTATTAAACACAAATTAAAAAAGGTCATTTATTCTTTCCGTTTCATCTCTAAAGTGTATGTTCATGATCATAAGACTATGATCTTATGCTTCCACAGATACAGCAAATGTGGGGAGGTTGTCATTCATCTATCAAGTAAATTTAACCACCGTAAATAACAAGACAAGGGAACAGGGTGAGCATTGTTCCATAATTAACTTCAAACGACATTGACAATACTGGTATAAGAGCAACCGCGCCATCTGTCGAGTGAATTTCTCATGAAAACATAGCACATAAATCATTAAAATAATGAAAATAGCTAATCAACAAAATAATATGGGAACAATATCTTACTTTATAGCAGCGCTTAAGAATGATGAGAAGCCCTCGAGACGTGTTTTTGCTGCTCCAAGAGCTTCATTAACTTCTCGAACATCATCATCATCATCTGCCACATTACTAGGCAGCAGCACCTTAGGAAAAACCTTATAGATTTTCCTGACAAGATCTAACATACACATTTTGTTATAATTGTGTGAAAAGAAATAGTAGAACCAAATGAACCAAACAGCTATATATATAATAATACAATCAACTATATGGTTTCTTTTTCCCATATAAAAAGGTACCCAAGTCATCCGAATACAAGATCTAATACAAGCAAGGAGGGTTCCATAAACTAATAATCACAATTTGTGCTGACGAGAAAATAAAACTATAAGACAACACAAGTACTAACCAAGTATATCTTCGCTATATGGAATTTTCCCTTTGACAAGTGCATCAACAAACAAAACTGCGAGCTCTGCCCCACAAGAAACCTGAAGATTTTCACTCCCGTGATTTCAATGCAAAAACCATGAAGTAAAGGACAACAAATAAGAAGACCAGCCAACAACTTCCTCATGCAAATTTCACATGCCTCTATTTCCAAAACAGCATAATCGTTTTGAAGTGATTATCAAGTAAAATCCAATCAAATATATCAACATTTTATCCGGAAAAACAATTTTTGTGACTGGGTACGTTATCCGGAAAAATCAATTTTTGTGACTCAGACCCGACCGGGTAATTTTTTTAAAGAAAATTACCCTGTTTTTTTATCCAGGTTGGCTGGTCGGGTCGACCGGGTCAGGTAATTTTGCACATCCTGATGGATATTATTAACATTTTATGTTTCGCCTAAAAGATTACCAAAATTTAAGCTAAGGGGCCTTAGACATTCTCATGATAAGAAAATAGCTTAAAAGTTGAAAATGTTATGAATATATATAAGAAATACGATTGCGTCAAGAATGTCATGGTTCACAAAAAAATAGGTTGTGATATGTAATATTAATATTTTTATTAATTATTCAAAAGTATTTATAGATTTTAATTCTTTGATTGATTCAAATATATTATTTTAATTTTTGAAATGTATTTATTAATTAATATTATCAAATATAGATTTGATTTAGTAATTTGATTATATGTTGATTTAGTATTTGTAAATTTTAATTCTTTGATTTAGTATACATAAAAAAATTCTTTCATTTAATATATGTATATATATTATTTTGATATTATGTTTGATATTTACAACTTTATGTTTGGTATATATTAATTAGTTTAAATATAATATTTTGATTTTTGGAAAGTTACTCACCGTCGTTTGATCTATGTGGTCTTAGAGAATTTTTATTTACTCGTTGATGTGAAGTTGCTCATTGTATGGATTCCTGATTGGAGTTGTTTGTTGTCACCAAAAAATCTAACCTTTAAATTTATTATGTTTATTTTAGTTTTTTCTGTTAGTTCTTTTTTATTTTTTTCCAGGTTTGTAGACTATTTTTTTTTGCAGATTTTTAAGTTGTGTTATTATTTTTTAAAATTATAGTCTTATTATGTTATTTGAGTTTTTCCCTATTAATTTCGTTGAAATTTAAGAATAAGTAATGATTTTGTCCTTTTTCGATATTGGATGTAAAGTGAATTTGGAGGGGGTTGGGAGTTGGATTGATCAGTTATTGGTTGCTATTGGTGTTAAGGGTATTGAATGTAGATTCTATATTAAATTTGGGTTCAATTTGGATTTGAGTTTTAATTACATATATTTTTTGGTTTTATATTAATTCGGGCTTGATGAATGGATTTGTAAACTCAAACAAAAATATTGTCTATAATAAATATTTTTAGTTATCTTTTGGGCATAAAATAAATTCAGAGTAGACACAAAAAATTTAAAGTAGACAAAAAATAAATTTACAGTGGATACATGTATAAAAATTAAATATTTATTAAATTAATTTAAATTTTTAAGATGATTACGTATCTATCCTAAAAAAACAAAGAGAAAATAACCTCAGTGACCAAAAATACCTTATAATATACGATTTTAACCAACTTTTTTTGGATTTGCCAAAATGACCAACTAAATCGCAATGTGATCGATAATTCGCAACGATTTACATATTCGTATTGCGATAGTCGAAGTTCGCGTTGCGATTTATTCCAAATTCGTTGCGATAGTCCAAAATCGCAACGACTGGTGGTATTGCATTTGTTCTTAAGAATTTTCTCTGAAAAGATAGTATTCGCGCGGACGTGTCGAAGACACGTATTACCATTACCATTACCACGACCATGACCACGACCACGACCCGACCCGACCCGAGACGGGCGACGGCGCGCGAGAGTCCCCCTTGTTCTCTATCACTCAACAAGGAAGTGAGAAAGCCAAGCCTTAAATACCATTCCCAATAGTGTTTCCAATACTATGTGGGATTGAGCATTACCAACACTTGTTCCCAATACTATGTGGGATTGAGCCTTAAATAGTGATATTATTTTTGAATGTTTTGCTTAAAATTGCAATAATCGCGATTGATTGTAGATTGACTTTTAATTATGACATATTTAATCGTATAATACTAATGCAATTGGTTGCTGATTCAGTTGTTTTAAGGTGCATGATTGTTAATTGTTTCCTGAATAATCATATTGTATTGGAAACAAGTGTTGGTAATGCTCAATCCCACATAGTATTGGAAACACTATTGGGAATGGTATTTAAGGCTTGGCTTTCCCACTTCTTTGTTGAGTGATAGAGAACAAGGGGGGACTCTCTCGCGCCGCCGCCGTCGCCGTCCGTCTCGGGTCGGGTCGGGTCTGGTCTGGTCTGGTCGTGGTCGTGGTCGTGGTCGTGGTAATACGTGTATTCGATACGTCCGCGCGAATACTATCTTTTTAGAGAAAATTCTTAAAAAACAAATACAATACCACCAGTCGTTGCGATTTTGGACTATCGCAACGAATTTGGAATATATCGCAATGCGAACTTGGAAAATCGCATTGCGATTTAGTTGGTCATTTTGACAAATCAAAAAAAAATTGATTAAAATCGTAACAAATAGCTCCGCAACTGTTAAATACATGCATTAAAGGTCTATTTGTACCTGAAAATATAGACGAAGAGGAGGCATTGGAGTTGATGCTTGTTCCGATGCTCGAATCAATATTTGTTCAATAGATGGAGACGAAGTAAATCTAGTTTGGTAAGCGCCGAGTAAATTGAGATTTTTTTTAATATGTTTGAGTTTATAACCAATTCTAAAATTATACTCATCATATATCATGCTTAAATTAATATTAAACCAATAAAAACATATTTATAAGAAAAAAAATTCACACCATAAAAAAATTGGTTCAAAATTAATCAATGAATAAAACATTAATCAAGAGTAGGATAAAATGTAAAGACTCAAAGTTCTGATCATAAAATAAATCATAAATTGATAGATAACAATTCAAATTAATTTTTAATCCAGCGTCGTTGATAAACATTATTAGCTACATCAAAACTAAATTAATTTTTAAAAATCCTCAATAAATTAAAATATAAAAAACAATTATAATAATGGGTAATCTATGTCAAATACCACTCATCTTTATGCTCGGGATCGAAAATGCCACTGACGTTTCAATTTTGTCAATTTTAACACGGACGTTTATGTTTCACTTCAATTTTGTCACTCCGCTGTTAATCTGGTAATGGCACGATGACATGGCATGCCAATGCCGTGACAACGATGACATGGATGGCTTTTTTAAAGTTATTTAGTCCATGTAGCATTTGTATTACCTGAGAAAAGAGATCTGCCACCACTAAACTCCCATTTCTTCACAACCACAAAACTCTCTCTCACTCTGCCGTCCACTGTGCACGGTATCATCCGTTGCAAGAAGCTCGACAACCTCGTTGGTGATTTGCTCTCTAATGACGAAAATCTTATAGCGTACCTTCTTTTCTTCTTAATTTTCTTTGGTTTCTTCTTGCTTTGCCTCGTAGGCTTTGTTTCGAGTATAATTTTTAAGTTAGTGTTGAACATCTCTGAGGGGGAATCAGTGGAGAAGCTCCTCGAAGATGAAACAAGGGTTTCCATTTCTCTGTCGTTAATACCGTAGTCTTCAAAGCTTCCGCTGGTAAAGAATCCGCTCTCGGCCGATGAGATGCTCATCTGGTTTTTCAGCGTCATTTTCCTTTTTCTGCATCATCGTTTTTTCTTTACCGTGTTGGGAGGCACTAGAGGTGGATTTGAATGAAAATGGCACGATAGCTATCGTGGAGGTTGTCTCTCTTGAGTTGGGAAACTGTGTTCACCGAGTCCGTGTGCAGCTTCCAGGATTCAGCTAAGAGTTTCTTCAGAAGTTTAGGGAAAAGAACATTGACTTTGATGTCCATAATGCTCAAGAAGAATCTGGTTCACTGTTGTTTAACATGATTGACAATCTCGCATTCCCACTAATCTTGATTGGAGGGTTGTTCCTTCTTTCGAGGAGATCATCTGAAGGAATGGGTGGACCGGGTGGTTCTGGCTTCCCTCTTGCCTTTGGTCAATCTTAATCAAAGTTCCAGATGGAGCCTAACAATGGCGTGACATTTAATGATGTTGTTGGAGTTGATGAAGCGAAACAGGACTTCATAGAGGTTGTCGAGTTCTTGAAGAAGCCAGAGAGGTTTACTGCAGTCGGGGCTCGCATCCCTAAAGGTGTTTTTCTCATTAGCCCTCATGGAACCGGAAAGACTCTTCTCGCCAAGGCAATTACTGGTGAAGCTGCTGTGCCATTCTTCTCTATTTCAGGTTCAGAGTTCGTTGAAATGTTTGTTGGTGTCAGTGCCTTTCGAGTTCGTGATCTTTTCAAGAAGGCCAAGGAGAATGCCCCATGTATTGTATTTGTGGATGAAATTGATGTTGTTAGTAGACAAAGAGGAATTGGTATCGGTGGAGGGAATGATAAGAGGGATATAGAACTTGTAAGAACCTAATATTGTCTAGGATATTGTTCCTCATCGAGAGCTTGACGAGAGATACTGAAAACGTTGATGGGACTTGGCCGGATACATTGTTATCGCTAGCTTCGAGAAAGTAAAGCTTTCTGAGTGAACCCAGATCTGAAAACTCACCGGAAATGTAGTTTCGTTGGATTTCGAGTCGTTTCAAGCGTGTTAGGTTGTTAAAGCTTGAAGGAATTAGTCCATTTTAAAACTTTTATAGAAAACATAATTGAAAAATATAATGTTGTTCAATGGTTAAGTATTCAGTGTAATTTAAAGAGGTTTGGGGTTTAAATCCCTCTAGTTGCATAATATTTCAATAATATTTTCAAGCAAAACGATGTTATTTTGTCTTTATTGAGCATCAAAATAGTTGTCTTGAAACGACGTCGTTTTGGTAAAGCATCTACGTCATCACCGTCATGGCCCGTCCATGCCATGTCATCGTGCCGTTAACGGATTAACGGCGGAGTGACAAAATTGAAATGAAACATAAACGTCCGTGCTAAAATTGAAAAAATTGAAACATCAGTAGCATTTTCGATCTCTAACATAAAGATAAGTGATATTTGACATAGATTACCCTATAATAACATATCTATGTCGCGTAATTTAAAAGATATTTTATTGTGTTGCCCTTGTAAAAGTTTTGTGAGTTAATCAACCGGATCCAATACTTCCAATTGGTTGACAAATAGGCCCGATCAATCACGAAGATATTTGAATTATGCCCATAATAAGCGGATCGAACCGGTCGAGTTAAGTTTTCAAATTCCAATTTTGTCCACCGTGAAGAATCAAAATTCCCCATTTAAGATCAACATTTCATTTCCCTAAACAAGAAGCAGCAGTCCTTATCAATCTCTACGCAGAGCTTGAAAGACTATTGCGTTTGGGAAGCGAGGAAAGTGCGAGAAAATGAGCGGAGCAGGAAAGAAAGTAGTGGATGTTGCTTTCAAAGCATCAAAGAACATTGATTGGGAAGCGATGGCAAAGCTTTTGGTCTCCGATGAGGCTCGCAAAGAGTTCGCCACTCTTCGTCGCACTTTCGATGAAGTTAACTCCACTTTGCAGACCAAATTCAGCCAGGTTAGTATTTAAAAAAAATCACCTCATATATCTTTAAATTTCATTTTTTTAATTAATCATGTTAATCTTTTATTAGATCTTTAGGGTTTTCGTATTTTGAGGGTATTTTCATATATTTTATCGAAATGAATAATCGCTTTTGAGGACTTTTATTTGTCATTAGGCTGATTGTTCATTTTGTTGCCACTGTGAACCCTATCTTGGTAATAACCTGATTATATTAAGCAGGAACCTGAACCTATTGATTGGGAATATTATAGAAAAGGAATCGGCTCGCGTTTGGTGGATATGTACAAAGAAACTTATGAGAGTAAGTTTATTTGACGATTGTCATGTTTGAGTTTACTTTCTTTACTATTTTCAATTTTCCCTCTTTATGCTTTGATCTGTTGTAGGTTCCTAAAAGCATAAATGGTATTCACGTGAAATTGAATTTGACAACCATTCTTTGGCTTTGTATATCTTTGATCTTTCTTAGATGATTTTCAACTTTTCATAATTTATCTAAAAGATAAATTGGAAATTGATTGCCAAATAAGGACGGTTCACTAATTGTTTGGTATAGAACTTGCTGGGAAAGTTCTTAAATATGTTTCTATTATAAAAGGCTGCAACGGTTTTAGGAACATGCTTAGACCTTTCGTTTTCATAATACTATTGTGGTAATCAGATACTCTAGAACAGGGATGGACCTAGTGGAGACAGATGGGAGCGGTCACTCACCTAAAAATTTCAAATTTGTATATATTTTAGATATTTTTTTTATGTATTTCTATTGAAAATTTGTTTTTGCCCCCTCCCTAGAATTTTATAAGTTCGTCCCCAACATAAATTCATGCGTCCGCCTCTACTCTAGAATACCAGGGACTCTCATTACTCGGTATTTTGGATGTTTGATGTGAAGCAAAGTTCAATTCTGACCTTCATTTGTCATGATAAAGGAAAAATGTTACTCAAATCACTGAACCAGATTACTTACAAATTTCTTACAGTAAGGAGTTCCTTCAGCACCACCTAACGATTAACCATATTAATGAGGTTGCTTCAATTTCACAGTTTCCTTGGCATATTGGTTGGGTACAATGTATAACTCCTTCAGTTATTTAGTTTCTTTACGTCAATTATAGTGACTTGTCCAACTGGATTGTCACTGGGCTGCAATTTTTAGAACCTGGGATTGCTTATTGCATGCGTTTCGAAGTTTTCTACACAGTGTTTTCTTTTTGTCTTAATGAGAACCCTCATCGTTACGTATTTTATAAGCTATGCAGGTGTCGAGATCCCCAAGTTTGTTGACACAGTCACTCCTCAATACAAACCGAAATTTGATGCCTTGGTGAGAATCATGGATGCATGACCTTCTTTTTACTTTTTATCGAGTTGCCTTCCTTTTCTTGGTTATGTGACTTGACTATTACTTGTGGTTTATAGTTGGTTGAGTTGAAAGAATCAGAAGAGAAATCCTTTAAAGAATCTGAACGTTTGGAGAAGGAAATTGCTGAGGTTCAGGAACTGAAGGTAATTGCAAATCACTCCCGAAATGAATGCCTGCTTCATTGTAACTGTAACTGTAGTTGCAATTGTTGGCTTCTTTTTTAAATCCTTTTTTTTCTTTATTTGAACAGCAAAAGATCAGCACCATGACAGCAGATGAGTACTTTGAGAAACACCCTGAGCTGAAAAAGAAATTTGATGACGAAATCCGGAATGACAACTGGGGCTATTGAGACATCTTTGGTAATATGAGGGCCAAGCTATAAAACATTAGACCGGTATTTCTGAATTGGAACCTTGTTTCTTTTTCCCAAATGATGATTGTAAAAACGTCATTTTGTGTTAATTTAGTTGATCATTGATGGAAATGTTGGGATCCAATAATAATTCACTTCAGAACCAAGGTGGATATTGCAAGACGGTTTTTTCAATTAAGTTGCATCCATTTCCATGGGTAAACTTTCTTTTCATCTGCCTTGTTTCGGATGTGCAAAACTAATTAATAAATCCCGATTTTTACAGTGGAATCACGTTGAAGTTACATAATTTCTCTTTGTTTAATATATCATTCATAGAATTAGCTCAGACTATTCTTCCGGGACCTCACGCCGAACTTTGAACCACATATTTTAATGCAAGTTTGTTTATTGCTTGAGCTTAACGTTATGCCAAGACTGCAAAATCACGTACAAGAAATATCAAAACTGGATTCAAGATCCAAAAATTGTAGCCTCAAAAGCTGATCAACCAATCATCCAGGCTAAATACAGATAAAAAGAGAAGTCACGGTTACAAAATATGTGAACTGCAAGAGAAATACAATGTTCTTAGCAAATAAAAAAAGGCGGTGTTGACAAATTAAATTTGAAGAAGTTGCAACCATACCCCAAGAGCACAATTTTACAACAGCGTCAAGTTTGTTTTGACTACCAACAAAAAAAATCCAGAGGCCATCTCTAGATTATGTTCTTCACCTTCGAAGTATTTGTAGCCTACTTATATTTTAGCCAATTTCTTTTGGGAGAGTTGATCCATAGCCGCTTCTTCATTTTTGACCATGGCCTTCCTTGCCAACTCGTAGCCGGCAAAGTTCATGGCACCTAAGGGTGCAATCCAAAAAAACCGGGGTACTGCTCCTTTAAAGAGACCAAGAGGTCCCTCGTGTCGGAGTATAGAAAAGGCTATCACTGACATCGATATGGGTCGGCCCCCTGGAGCAGTCATCATTCTAGTTTTCATGACATCAAAAGGCGTAGTGACAACTGCAGCTAACCCTCCGGATAAAGCTCCCACAGCAATGGTTTCCCACGGTTCCAGTTCCCGTTGGAGAAGTTGTTGGGCAAGCTATAATACAAGATGTAGAACCCAAACGATAATTATACAGATGCACCGATAAATTATTTGAGAGCAATGAAAATACTCAATTTCAAGAAAAAAGAATACCTTTTTGGATTCGGCATAGAGGCCCATCCCAGCAACATAAAATGGCACCTCACGACAAAGAGTGGCCCCGGTTCCACGGAAAAAACCTTTCAGACCATCCTGGTTCCAAGTAGCAACAAGAGCTTCTCCAACATTGTCAAAAAGGCCAGCCTGCAAACGTTGCTTTAGTACCTCACAAGGAATCCGCACTGCTGTTCCTAAGAGTGTGCTGCAGAATGATGCCATGGATTGAACCTACATATCATGTAAATACAAGTTTTAACTCAATATTTCAAATCAATAACAGACGTTTAATAGAAATCATTCCTTGTCAGAAATTTTAAATTAACTGTGCAAGACCAGTTTCTTTTGCATGCAAAGAAAGAGAGACAAGAAGCCACAAAAGCATGTGCAGATGCATTCTCACACTAAGGAGTGAGACCTAAACTTCTTGGGTACATAAAACGCAATAATATAACAAGATTCAAAACCAGAGTGATGGGTAAACACTAACTTCAAGTTTGATGTCACTTTTCAAAGCAACAAGAAGTACCTGGATGTCTGGGAGATTTGGAGCAACATTGATCAATACAAGCTTACTTGCTTCAAATATTCCTGTTCGCAGGCCATGGCTGCAATGTTGAAAGAAAACCAATCAGACAAATGACAGAAAACAAAAGTCAAATAAAAGAACCAAGGTGAACAGCACAAATATATATATATATATATAGTAATAGAACCTCGAAAACTGTCCAAGAATTGCAGGGATTGAACCCCTATATAACCCATGTACTCCAATTTGTGGAAGCTTTGAAATAATTTCTGGGAAGGTCAGGGTTGATGCTTGCACCCGAGTCTAATAAACAAAAAAAAAATAGGATCAGTAAAAGCACAGTTGATTGTCACAAGATGTATTCCACATAAACACTCTTTCGACTCCCTTTTTAGCTTAGGTGCTTTTAAGTGTTGAAAGTAAAAAAACTGAAAAGAAGCATTTTTTTCTACCATATACGAGTAATGGTGAAGAGTATGAAGGGGAACTTAGAACTAGCAAGAAGATACCTCTAACAAGTGAAGGAGAAAAACAAATCTGATGAAAAATATTAAACTACACATTACACAATAAGCAGGGTCAAGAAGACTTGGAGAACCAGCTATGCTATAAGTTGAAAACATTTCATTACTAGCACAATTTGGCCAAAGCCTGAACTAAATTTATCAAAGAAAACAGAAAAACTCAGGTATTGGGAAACTGTGTCAAATTAGGGAATACTAGAATAAGCTTCCAGAAAATATATGTAAAAAATAAAATGGACGTGTCTTAACAACATTAGCGGGTTCATCTTGAAGAAAGGGAAGCACCAAAAAGTTCTATAAAAGCACATTAATGATTATAGTGCATATATGTCCTTGCAAAAGATATGATGGTTATTTATTCTATGTTCATAGAGTACATTATTAAGTAAAAACAACACTAAGCTGAATAACGTGCCTTTATAGTATCAACTGGGTGCAGTAAAGATGTGGAGAGTGCACACGCAAGACCCCCAGCCAATGCAGATTTAAGAACACTTCCAGTATGTATTTCCACAGGTGGTGCAACAGCAACAACAGTTGCAGCTTCAAACCAGATATTCCTGTATGTAATACAGAAAGAATTTGATGTCAAAAGTTTGTCACCAGGAAATTAGTGCAAAGGGGGGCTTGTGCAAGCAAAAATTATACATTCACCAAAGGAAAAAAAGGAAGAACGGTAATTGCTACCAATATTCAGCTTTAGTAATAACTTTTAGGGCCTGGTACCAAAACTTTATACTAATATATAATTGATCAATTAGAAACAACAACATTTTTAACCATGTATCCAGACCAAGAAGCACAGAGCATTACTGCAGTAAACAAACAATTTCACAAACTGGAACTACAAACTACAATTTGGTAACCATTATCCGATCTATAGGTTTAACTTCTAAAAGATGCAGCCTGAAGAAAAGGCAAGCCAACCATATATAAAATTAGAGCCTGATTTCCAAATAAGATTTTCAAATGGAAATATTACTCACCGAGGATCATCTTTAAGTAGGCGATCGGAAGGCAACAAAAGCATAAAATTGCGGAAGTGTCCATATGAAATAGATTCTTCAGTATCTGCATTCAAAAATCGCATCATAGCAACAGCATTGTCTTCATTTGCAGGAAGTCCAGCGTTTTTAAGTGATGCCAATATTTCACTTTTTTGGAGGGTCCCAGACTTGCTTAAACAGAGAGAAGTGTAGGCTCGAAGTATAGTTGGCTCCTTCTGTTCCATCAAAGACAAAAACTGCTTCCAATTGAATGATTTTGAAAATAAATGACTTCTCGTGCGGCGCATGAATTCCCGAGCATATCTATGTGGCAATTTTCTTTTTCTCATAGCAACTTCAAGATCATCTAAGGTTACTTGTCCATCACCATCTCTATCCAATTCTTCAAAGAACCTCCTCCCTAAAAGAATAATGCACAAGTAAAATTAGTTCATAGCTATTTTACTGAACTATAGTTAATGAAATTAGGCTGTGGTAAATTACCAAACCTGAAATTTATGCCATGAGAACTCAAAGGATATGAACTCATTTAGCATAAAGTTTGATAACTGACAAGTTTATTAATGACTAGGAAAAAGAAAAACTATCAATGACAAGTCACCAGCCCAAAAGTAGAACTTATGCTATGCTTGAAAGATACAATTTGAAATTCTGAATCCCCAAATTCAGTTGGGAGTAGGGGAAGGGTGATAATCAAAACCAGATTCAAGACTAACCAATTCCTACAGGTTTAGCATGAAGAGAAACACAATAAGAGTTTAAAGGAAACTATGACTTGAGTTATGCTATGCTTTGAACGAAACAAAGAAAACTATGATTAGAATGATGCTGCCTATAGTCTACAGCATAACATATTTATATATTGATGTTGCTATTCAACGAACCAAACCAAGAAAAGAAAATGATGCAAAAGTAATTGTTTGATGAGCTGCCGGAGAAATCATACCTTCAGACTCTGTGTATCTGAAGAAATCCTGAACAGAGAATAATTTCTTCTTGTCAGGATGATCTTGTGAAGAGCGACCCAAAAGTGGTAGAAGCTCAATCAGTTCCGTCAGTGAGACAGTGGATAAGGTGGATTTCAAACGCTCCACATTTGATAGAGGAATGCTAAGTATCCCACTCGCCAGCTTCTGTGGGGAATTACTAGCTGTTTCTTCCCTACTCCCAGTGCTAACACCATCATCACCTTCTTCGTTCACTTGAGAGGCAACTCTGACCATACCTGATGGAACACCTCCCACTCTAGCAAACTTCAAATTTCCCAAAAACCCATTTACATCAACTTTTTGACCTTCCCAAACACTTGCCACTGATTTAAAGTAATCGAAGAAAGGGGGTAGAGATTGAGTCCGGGGACAATCACCATGCATTTGTTTACTTTTCTGATCAAGATTTTGAGTCAATTGATCAAGAATAAGCCCTATAAAACATTCGAATGGTGCATATCTCCCATCATTATGTTCCAAACCCTCATTCTTTGCACTAAACTTAGCCCTTGCCTCACTATGCTTACACTCAACTGGGGCCTTTGATTTCACATCATGAGTACATGGATGTCGACACCCTTTATCTTTGTCATCCATTCTCTGAATTCTTTTCCTACCGGAGTTAAATGAGTTTGGTAAAGCCTGGACAAAACTGTTGATCAACATTGACCAAGTAATCGCAAACCGAAAGCAATTCATGCAAGACCCTTCATCTCTATCCGCGTCCTTTTCTTTCAATCCTTTCCTAACCACGTCAACCTTCTCACTGTTCTTGTCATTTGCAGGCGAAAACATTCCTATAAACGCCTTGACGGGAGCTTTAATAGGTAGACCTTTTTTCCTCTCTTCACTACCAACACAACACTGCCCTTCGTTAGCACCAGTACCAAACCTATCATTTCTCTTCTTCATACCAAAGATTTGAATCTTACCCTTCCTATCACTACCATTAGATTGGGAAATCAATTCAATGTTATTTCCTTTATCATTTAACACCCCAAAACAACTTTCAACATCTTTTGCAGTTTTCTTAATGCCCAATTCAAAAGGTAAAAGTGTTTCCTTTACAAATTGAATCGAATTTGAAAACGATTCCATGGGATCATTTTTCGACAACATTACTCCTCCCACCTCAAAGACTCCTCACTCTTCAATACAAACTCTCTCCTCTATGGAGATTCAACAAGAAACATATCCAACACACCCAAAAAAAAGTTTAGCCAACTCAAAGGATTAAAAAGAGCTTTTACTAACTAAATCGAATCAAAATTCAATTAAAGAACCCCGAAATCCTTGCTTCCCAATAATATAAACAAAAATTTGTACTTCACTTAAATATTTCGAACCCACGAAGCTAGAACCACAGTTTCGACATAAAAAAAAACAGAAGCAAAACTAAACCTTTCGCCAATAAAATGGCATTTAATGAGCTAAAAAGGAGATTTTGCTTGCGAGGAGGATCTGCTGAAGAAACCGACGCTGCCTTCTAAAGCAAATCAAGCTTATCCATGCTGATAAAATAGCCAAATGGGTATTAGTTTCTTGTCTATTCCTTGGAAGAAGAATCAATTTTCATCCCAAAAAGGAATAAAAAAAATTATATCTTTAAAATGGGCTCGTCTGAGTTCTGTGTTCCTTTTGAAAGTGATAAAACAAGGAAGTGAAACAAAGGGCCGTGTTGAAAAGGAAAGTGGAAATTCAATGACTAAATTAGGATCTTGAGGGGGAAAATTCTAAATTTATCCTCTCTTTTTTTCAACAACCTGTTTTAAGGGGAGGAAAGGCGAGAGATATGGTCGTGGGGGTGGCAAAGGAAGAACCCAAAGAGAGGTAGAAGAAGATGCATAGGCCTCTGTTTGTTCAATTTAATTCCAATTTATGGAAAATAAGTTGATTAAAAATATATAATTTTTCGGATAATAAATAAAATAAACAGCGAATGGATAAAAGGGGCGGACGTAAAGCTTTGTAGGACCTCTGTTCGGCTCTTCATCTCTCGACACTATAATAATAATAATAATAATAATAATAATAATAATAATAAATAAGTTAATTGAATTTTTTTTAAATTTAAATTTTAAATGGAAATCCAATGTTTATCCTTATCCATTTTGGTAAATAATTTGGATTCGCATGCTCGTCTTTTTGTGGTCGCTTTAATGTTTTTAACTAAAAATTAATTAACTTCAAAAACACTATTATAATTAGTAAAAAGATATTACTACAATTGAACTAGTCACTGTTTTAAACTGGAATTAAATTGCAAATGCCTATTATAATTTATATTCAAAATATATTAGAAATAAAAACATTTTTAAAATTATTGTAAAAAAAACATGTGAGGGGAAAATAATGAGAATAAAGAACGAAATTGGTGGATCCATAAGTTGGATTAGTGGCTACAAATAGGTTGACAAATAAAAATTTGACATCTAGCTTTCTTCCGCTCCGATTTTGACACGTGTACTACAGATGCCTTGACGCCCGTTGTTCATCGTATCCGTATCGGGACTTGTTTTGAGGTTTTTCATGGGAAATTAAAAGAAGGTTTGTTTTTTTTTCCCGACTAAATACTGATTAATATTTAAATTCATTGAATGATCTTAAGAATTCAAGATAATTATTTTCATAATAATTTAGATTTGATTAATGATTATCTATAAATAAAATAGAATTGAATTAATATAAGATTTTTTAAAAAGGTAATTAATACTTTATTTGACTTTCTGAATACTTTTTTTTATTATTCAAGTAAACTATACAAGTTGAGAAATCAGTAATAATTAATATAATCATCTTGATAAAAGTGATTTCACTTGTATTTCTTGGGGAGGGGGGGGATTCAACTCCTAATCTTTGCTAATAATAATAAATTTTGATGCTATAGAGATAATTGATTAATTTAGGATTGAAACAAATTATCTTAATCCTAAACTTCCGTTAATTTTTTTAAAGAGAATTTTAAATAACTTGTATCGCATAAATCAGAGTATCTGCTATTTGCAAGAGCAAGCTATAAATTTGAAAATCATACTTAAATAAATAAAGAAAAAAATATTAATTCAATAGTCTGGCCATTGAAGATAGGAAAAGACTAGAACTTGATTATTACAACTCAATTAGTATTAATTAATTATAATTATTCCAATGGCACAATAAAGAAGGATATTATCCCAATCATCCTACTTCAAATCATTTATAATAACAATAATTCAAAACCATCAATTATCGGTGATAAACTCAAACGTGGATGGTCAACTGCTTCAGAGGTCAGAACCAAACTACTACTATAATGGAAAATATAGTTTTCCACATTAAATGAAAGCCGTTCTTATATAAATCTCTTCCGACAATAATCACTTACTGAATTAAGGACCTTCAAAAAAGGATAATGTTCGACTAGACTTACACAACTAATTTATGATATGCCCAAATTCCCAAATACATTTTTCATGTCTTGGTTAAACAACAACAATTGTATGGTATTTAAGCGTTTATTATTTAATGATTAAATCTTTAAAACAAATACTACTACATGTAATAATTCTAAATTAATTAAAAAAAAACCTCAAACTCAAAAAACTCAATTCTTCGGTTTAAAAAGAGGTATCAATCTCATATCACCGCATACAAATGATGATAATATGATCAGAATATATACATATATACACACGTTGAATGTGTCTTGCAAATGCTTTCAAGTTCAAGGTCCAACAAACTGTTAGATGGTCACAAGAAGCCATTTGCATAAGCAAATACAAAAAAATTGGATGTTTACCTAACCAAGAACGTTTAATTCCGAAAACAATACATCAACATATGTTAGCTTTCATTTCAGTACAATAGACAATAGACATTTTGAGTAAACCTGGAAAGCAACTCTCATAGCTAAAGGGTAGCAAAGATGCAAAACACATTGTATTGCGAAAGACGACTATCGGATAGAGCAAAATCGCAACTGATAATTTGAGAAAATAAAAATGAAGACAAAGAAGACACAAATTTTACGTGAAAACCCCCTAAATAATATAGGGTAAAAACAACGGGCAAAGGTAGAAGAATTTCACTATGAGAATTACAACTTCTCTCGATCTAACAATGAAAAAACAATGACAATTCTCTCTTGATAAAAAGGAGAAAACAACTCTCAAGAAAACTCTCTAAATTCTCTAGTATTGGGAGAAAGCTAGAATGATTTGTGACGATTTTGAAGCTAAATGGGATAGGGTATTTATAGTTGAAGCTTAAAGACTAATCTTGTAAATACCCTAAAGTACATGAACTAAATTTAAGATTTTACCATTCCATTTTTCAACAATTTCATGCTGCCTAATATGGACCATTTTAGCCACCCCATTTGTCATTTTCAAATCAGTCGCCCCATTTGCCAAATCAAATTTGACTTTTCAACAATCTATCACTTGAAGATTTGATTGTAACAATCATATCTTCACACCATTCTTTCTACCTTGTACCTCTTTGTTGTATTCCAATGCTCTTTGTCTAGATTCGCCATGTACCGACTAACCACTCCCACTGCTTGTGCAATGTCTGGTCTTGTGCATATCATAGCGAACATTAAACTTCCCACTGCTGATGCATACGGTACTCGAGACATCTCCATCCTGTCTTCTTCACTGCTAGGATTCATATTGGAGGATAATTTGAAGTTAATAGGAAGAGGGGTAGAAATTGACTTACAATCTTGCATGTTGAATCGTGACAAGATCTTCTTCAAGTAATTCTTTTGTGAAAGCCAAATCTTCCTATTACTTCTGTCTTGGTGAATTTGCATCCCTAGAATCTTGTTTGTTGATCCCAATTCATTCATTTCAAATTCCCTAGCCAATTGTGCCTTCAATTCTTCAATATGATCTTTGTTGGGTCCTACAACCAACATGTCATCCACGTACAACATCAATATAACAAAATCGTTATCACCAAACCTCTTGAAATAAGTACAAGGGTCTGCATTAAGTCTGTTGTATCCAAGGCACATAATGAATGAATCAAATCTCTTATACCAACACCTCGGTGCCTGCTTTAGACCGTATAGAGATTTGTTCAACCTGCAAACCAAGTTCTTCTTTTATTTTTCTTCAAAACCTTCAGGCTGGAGCATGTAAATTTCTTCTTCAAGATTTCCATGAAGAAAAGTTGTTTTAACATCTAGCTGCTCTAGATGTAAGTTTAATGTAGCACACATTGCCAAGACTACTCCAACTGTTGTTAGTCGAATCACAGGAGAAAATATTTCATTGAAATCAATACATTCTTTTTTAGCATATTTTTGACCACCAGTCTTGCACGATACCTCTCCACTTGATCGTTATCATTTCGTTTGATTTTGAAGACTCATTTGTTACCAATTGGCTTCCTTCCCAGTGGTAGTGACACAAGGTCTCATGTATTATTTTTATGAAGGACTTCAATTTCTTCTTGCATCGCCATCATCCACAGTGAATAATCTAAGTTGTTTATTGCCTCCTAGAATGTTGATGGCTCACCATCCTATGTTAAAAGACAGTATGCAATATTTCTTTCTATAACAAAATAAGAGTGTCAATTGGGACGTATTTTCACATGATCTGATTGACGAGTTGTTGGAGCTTCAGAACTCTCTGGTTATTGTTTATTATGTGCTGGTTCTGCTTCAGAAGAATCTCCTTGTTCAAACTTCTTTTCCACATTTATCTGTGTAGTATTTGACTTTTCAGCATTACCATCTTCTTCTTTTCTTTGTAGTTTATCTTCTACAAAGATAACATCCCTGCTGATGATCACTTTACGGGCAGTGGGATCCCACAAGCGATACCCTTTTACTCCATCAGTATATAGTTTGATGAGATGGTCTCATATCATTCTAGTTGTCTTCTTCTCATCGATGCTTGACAATACTTCATCTGCTAATGCTAGATGAAAGTTTGTCATAACATTCCCGTCCATTTCGATCCATTTGTTATTTGTGAAATCTACCGACCTTTCACTGATAGCTGCTAGACAACCGTCTTTCCTCATGATGACTTTCATCTTCAATTTCCACAATGAGAAATTTCTTCCACTGAACTTTTCAATATCAAATTTCGTTGTCATAGCTTCTATTACAGATAACTCCCACTATTTCACTATCGTGAATAGTTCTCTAGAACCTTCAAAGAATGTGTAATACATTCTTACTTTCTTATGTTGAATGATCCACCTTTTGGTGGCAACCACAAAAACAATAAGTAGATATTACACACTCAGATCTGGCTTTTGATACCAATTGTTACAGAAGACGGCTATCGGATAGAACAAAATCACAACTGATAATTTGAGAAAATAAAAATGAAGATAAAGAATACGCAAATTTTACGTGGAAAACCCCTAAATAATATAGGGTAAAAACCACGGGCAAAGGTAGAAGAATTTCACTTTGAGAAAATAGGAATTACAACTTCTCTCGATCTAACAAGGAGAAAATAATGACAATTCTCTCTTGATAAAAAGGAGAAAACAACTCTCAATAAAACTCTCTAAATTCTCTAGTATTGGGAGAAAGCTAGAATGATTTGCGATGATTTTGAAGCTAAATGAGATAGAATATTTATATTTGAAGCTTAAGGACTAATCTTATAAATATCCTAAAGTGTAGGGACTAAATTTGAGATTTTACCATTCCATTTTTCAACAATTTCATGCTGTCTAATATGTACCATTTTAGCCGCCCATTTGCCATTTTCAAATCAGTCGTCCCATTTGCCAAATCAAATTTGACTTTTCAACACCTTGAAGATTGTTCTAAGCATACGAGTGATGTCTGTGACGGTCTTTCTCCCTGGAAGAATATGATGAGCCAGAAAAAATAAAAGGTTTCAGATAGTGAACAAATCTATAATGAACATATTGGGGTAATTGAAACGTTGTGGAAAGCTAAAAA